CCCAGTTCCGGCGGTGCGCAGTGATCCTGGACCTCACGAGAGTACAAGGTCACTATTTTGCCGATGTGTTGCCGACCACCTGCACATGGAACACCCTTTGTGAGAAGGTCGCAGGCATCATTGGAGGGGAGCCCTCTGATTGGGACTTTTGGGTAGGGCCACAATGTCAAAGAGCCCCCCCGAATACGTCCCTTTCATTCGAGCACGGTGATGTCATTGTCGTCACCCCCCCTGGAGCTGAACCAGGCCCGGTGGTGCATATCAGCCAGTTGTTCGCGGAAGGTGCGCAGTGGACCGCCCTACATCATGTTTTCTCCACGACCCTTCTGCCAGGCCTTGCAGTGCACCTTCGGGACTCTGTCCACCCGTTTGCTGGGCGCCACCTCGCAAGCTGTGACGTACGGGGAAGGATCAGCCACCTCCTCGGGGTTGTGGATGACGATTTGTACCTGCGAACCTTTGCTGGCCTTTCGGATCTTTCAGTGGCGGGAGAGCCCTGCCATTGTCTGGTTGTTGCAGCATCTGCTTCGAGCCTCCACGCAAAGTTTGGCCGGACCCCTTTCACCCTTGTCCTGGATGCACGCCCCATCGGGTCAGGCCTCTGTCTCCTCCACACTACCGAGGCAGAGCACTGCTTGGCCGATCTGGCATCTTGCGTTGGTATACCGAGCACACTTGGCCACTTACTAGACCTCAACATTGTTGCCGTTGCCGAACCTCCTGAACTCGGCTGCTGCCTTGTTGAAGTTATATGGCGAGGGCATGTCGGTCGCGGGCCGCTCCCCTCTGCCCAGAATACGTTCCCGTGGCCTACCGCTATCGCCGCCGCAATCAGTCAGACCATCCAAGCAAGTCAGTTCACCCACGCTCATGGCCTTGCACGAAACCATGTTGCAGGGAACCCTGCTCCCCCCGGCCCAGACCAAGGCAGTCCCCGCTCGGACACGACCACCGAGACCTCCGATCACAGCCCAACATGCCTTGCTCGCTTCCTTGTGCTTGCCCGTCACCATGCCTCACGGAGTGTCAATGTGCGGCTTCGGATACCGGCTACCGCGCAAGCAGCTCTGGATGAAATTGCTGTTGCCCTTGATGACGATTTTTACAGGCTCTTCTCTCAGCTAACACCAGCGAAGCAGCAGCTGTCCTCGCACTGGGGGACCGTTATAGCCTTGCCGGCCTGGGCACAAGATGAGCATATGTGTATCTTCGACCTCCGGGAGATTGATGGCAGAGTCTTCATTGCTGACCTGCCACTGCACAGCACATATGCAGACTTGATTCGGAAGGCCGATCTTGACCCGGACCAGCAGTGTGCCATCTACCCTTTTGGAGCTGGCCGACCACTAGGTGCAGCAGCTGACCTTGTCCTTGAGCCATACGGGGTCATTTGCTTCTGCAGGCCGGATTCCTTGGTGCCACATGCGCCCAGCCTTGCCTACGCGCTCTCAAGCCTTGCACAATGGAACGAGAATGACCCCATCCCAGTCAATGAGGCGTGGAACCGGGCGCAGCAGGTATGCCTGGTGCATGAGCATGGCATGCAAGCGTTTACCCTCCTTCCGGGACGCTCAGAGCATCACCACTTTGATGTTGCCAATGCATTGGGGCTGCCATTCCACTGGACCACAGTACAGTTAGCCCGCCCACCTATGCGTGACATGGTTATGGGCGGTAGACGATGTAAAGGTGTGGCTAGTGTTACGGACCAGGTTCCCAATGTGCCCCTACCGCCACGCCGCCCTGGGCCTGACATCTTTACCATTATTGTCGACTGTAGGCCTTTGCTCATGGGCCTGGAACAATGGGTTGTCACTGACCAGGACTGCTCGCACACTGAAATGACCGAGCAGTACGAGCTATGGGCCCCGCCGAACCACCAGGCTCAGATCGAGGGGGCACCCCTTGATGGTGACCGCCTCCTTGTCATGCCTGGACAAGTACTGGTTGTGCAGTTTGTTCCGGTCACACCTCTCAGCGAAGTTCAGGCAGAGGACCGTCTATCCCCCAGCCCAGACATCCTCGAATCAGGAGCAGATGGCGGCGAAGGACCCTGGGATTCCCCTCTCCCGGGTGACCCTCATAACAGCCCAGTAGCCAGTGATACGCGTAGCCGAACCCCTCGGCGTGCACCCAATACCCCTCCGGAGACTCACCAGCTTAGTCTCTCGAAATCACTGTGCCTGGAATTAGGGAAGTTTGACCCATTTCTAAGGACACCGGGTTTCTTACGGTTCCCTATAGTTATGGCCACCCCTGACGGCTGCCAGCCCTTTCTTCAGATGCAATCCAGCCTAATTGGCTCCCGGTCAAATGACCTTTTGATCCCGACCCCAGCCGAGTCAGTTCTGTATGAGCACTCTTACCCCTGGCTTGCGGCCAAACTTCTTCAGTGCCCCCCCTGCAACCGGCCAGAAGCGGGCCTAGACCTGGCTGCCTTGCGACATGTCACACTGGAGTTAGGGGGTCGCTGGCCCAACTTCGTTGACGATTCACTCTTGCCGGCTCTACCTGGCATCAATGAGGACTCGTCCGAAGACGAAACTGACACCGCGATCGTCAGGCAAATCGGTGCGGTTGTCCTCAAGCCCACATATAAGCCAGAGGCCCTCTCGATAGTTGTTCAGTTCCCAGCGACCGTTGCAGACGTCAAGCGGGCAACACAAGCAGCCAGATGGCAAGGGTATATAGACCCTTTTCCGCATTTGTGGGAGGCGTCTCCTCAGCCATCTGATTCCTTTGCCACATTTGTTGCCATGCCTTGTTGGCACGAGCTTGCCATGATTGTTTGCATGGACATGACTAGGATCGACGGACGACTTTTCGCTATGGAAGCACCTCCCTACGTTGACAGGCAAGGCCTCCTCATGCTGGTTGATTTGCCGCCGGAGTCCGATGCAAGAGTCTTTGTTGACGCAGAACATGAGCCACTACCGAATGGGCTCCGAGTGCATCTTTTTCCGGCCGTCACAATTACCATATGGCCAGCTGAAGGAGCTCTCCCGGCTCTGCAAGTAGCTGCCACACTCTTTCGACAAGGCCAAACCTGGAGGCCTGAACCCCCGACCGAGCCTGATCTTTTCGGTGTTTGGTTGTTCCAGATGGATTCTCATTGTTCAAGGACGACCCTGCAAGACCGTGGCAGTATCGACGCCACATTGCAGCAGCAGCAGGGATTTCTGAAAGGATACTTGATGTTGTCCCTGTTGTTCCGACAGTTCGGGACGCGGCAGTCGATGGCCGACAGTGCCACAACGTGATGCTGGCGGTGCCTCGCCACCCAGAGACACGAGGCCTCCGTCCTTTTTACTTTGTGTTAGATTGCCGACAACTCCTCCTGGGATGGATTACTGTGCTTGCTCATGGAACCGACTACCCAGAACGGTTGGTCATGGAGCGGGTTCAACCACACCTTCTCCCAGGTTGGTCAATAGACATTGAAGGCGTGCCACAGTCCGCCGGCCTTCTCCAGGTCTATGCAGGTGCTGTGGTGAACATTTGCCCCTATCCTGTCGACCTTAGGAGGGTCCTTGCCGTACACGATAGTCCGTCTGGACAAACCCCTACACACCCCACTGGAGGTACAGGAGATGCCCCACCCCGGACTTCCACAGCCGGAGTGCGAAGGGCCGTGAACGCGTCGAGTGCTAGCCCTACCGCCGAGGCCGAGGTTTCTGGGCCTCAGATTCCTGAACAGACAGGTCAGACAACCGCACATACAACATTCATTGCAATGTTTCAGGTGTTGACACCCAGCTACCTCGCGGATGTATTTGCCCTACCTCTTGTTGCGCCTTCGACAGTCGACGAAGCTATGCGGGCGATCTCCGATCGCCGCACCATAGTTGCGACCCGGCGGTTCCCTAATCTAGTTGAGGTTACACCACAGCCGGACACCTCCTTTGGGGTCCTTTTGGCAGTCCCGACATGGGACATTCTTGGGGCCATTGTTGCAGTTGATGCTCGACTCATCGGTGGATCCATCTTTGCCGCGCCCCTTTCTGATCGTGCCGATAAGCATATGATCCTTGAGGCCAGTGGTTGTGACCCCAACCAAGATTTTGTGGTTTACTACAAAGATATGCCATGGCCCCTTGTCGAACACCACTACGTACCCCTTGCCACCGGAGACCTGCTGATTGTTGCGCGCCCGCACCATCCCGCCATTATTTCAGCAAGCCTCGCCGACATGCTTCAATCTCCGACCGGCTGGGCCGCCGTGCAGACGGTTGCCGTGTTTCCGTCCAACAATGTCTGCGTCATCGCCCCCGGCAGCACCTTTATGTGTCCGCTGGATGTTGAGCTAGACATTCGAGGTGAGGTTGCTAGACGTCTTGATAGAAATCAGCAGACCATTTCTCTTCTCCAGACCTGGCCCAGCCTCAGCAACGTAGCGATTTTCGGAATAACGGCCAGAGACGCATGTTTGGCCCTTGTTGCAACACCGACAGGCCGAGAGAGTCCTATCGCCATTGTTCTAGTCCTTGACCTGCGCCCCCTCTTGCGCGGAGTTGGACAGATAACTGTGCCTGTGGACACGTTCGATCTGGCATCTGCATGCGCAGATCTGTTGGCTTCCGCACCATTTGGCTGCCAGGTTGTCTTTCTCGAAGGGCATAACCGTGTCAGGCCGGATGGACCACAACAGGCCCGTACAGGTACAGTCCTTACAGCCGAATACGCTCCCAGAGAGGTAAATACTTGGCAGGATGCAGCAGCAGGTGCCGGTGGCCTCACTGCACCATCGCGGAGCAGGTGGAGTCCATCAGAACATGGCGCAGCTCCTGGCCAGAGTCGAAGCCCATGCACTGCTTCCCTTGTGGAATGGCTCAGTCAGCTTCTCCGGCCGGCTATCCCACCGTCTGATAGAAGGTGCCTTCCGAGGCGCCCACGCCGACAAGGCCCCTGCGGAGGCCGTCACGGCCGTAGGCCTACCGTGTGCCATAAGGGGGCTCCCATTTTTACAGCGGGTCTCCTTTGCGCGCTTAGCTTAGTACCAGGTATCAAGGGGGTTCACCTACCAGCCCACCTGTCAGCTCGTGTGCAGCCTGAGCCTGCTGCTGACTACACCAGGGTTGATACTTGCCTGGGTCGAGTAGCCATGTGGAGTACGGATATACAGCCTCCCGTCCATCCTTCTGGACCACCGTGCGACACCAGCAGACGCCCAACGGTAACCGGTGCCGACACATGTATACATCAGCACCCAGGAGGCGACGGCCCGCGCCGCCCCCTGCCTACTCCTTGTCGAGCCAGACCGGCCACCTTGCATCTGTCAGGCGGGTTCAGCTCTAGTCCTGACGATGACAGTGCCGAACTTGTGACGTTGCTCGATGTCTGTACTCGACATACTACGCACCACTTCTACCTAGCTGCTACCCTTCTTGAAACCCTTTTTGAGCACTTCCAATTCGGAGGGCGACAGGCTCATGCCCCGGCCGCCCCCGTGCCAGCCAACAGGCTAAGTGTTAGACTTGCTGAGGCCATCCCGCTTACCCCCTTTCAGGAACAGGTCGCTTCATTGCAGGCAATCATACCGCCCCTGCCCAGTGCTGTCCCCCATTACAATACTGATGGAGATTGGCTGGATGCAGACCTCCGACCCTTGCTTTCTGATGCCAGTCTTCCGGCACGATGGCAAGCGGTCTTTTCTGGCTTTCAAAGCTGGCACAAGCACGCGCAGGCCACCAAGCTCACCGGGCTCGAGATCTACTCCGACGGATCCGCACCCAACAACACAAGCCGAGGTCCCTCGGATTGTTACCCCGCTGCCTGGGCCTTTACTGTATGGGCCCGCGTCGGAGATGAGTTATTGTTGGTTGGTCATTGTGCCCACCCAGCCGTTCCGCCAGGTACCCCTTTTTCCCTTGGTGAGGCCTCAGACGACCCTTTAACAGCCGAATTACTCGCCTTGGGGTGGGCCTTCATTTGGGCGTTGGAGATTGGAGCTTGCATGCAGGTGCCTATGCTTTTCCTCTATGACTCCACGGTCGCGGGCCGTGGAGCCTTTGCCGAGACCCGTCAGCCAACGGCCCCAGGTGTTCCAGAAGGCATCCCATTAGCCGAGACAGTTAACCTCCTACGCCAATGCCTGTCCGCGCGTGCTCTGATCGGCCACCAGCACGTACCCGGACATGCAGGAGTGCCACAGAATGAGCTTGCCGATCAACTGGCGAAGCGTGCCAGACGGTCCAAAGAAGACACCTACAGCCGACTCCTGCCCACTTGGCCGGCCCACTGGCTACAGCATCCCCTCCGTCGATGGGCGTGGATGACACACCACCGCGTCGCCGCCGTCCCGACCCTCATGGCTTTGGAGTCGGAGGCTCGCAGACTGCAAACCACATCTTCCACTGCTATCCTTCCTCCAAGCGAAGGTATTAGCACTGTCCATCGTAAAGCTTCAACAACCCATTTCGCACTTAACCTTGCTACCTTCAATACTCTCAGCCTTTTTGACTCCGACGCGCCCAAGGGCCGCAAGAAGCGCAATGGAGCCTATGGCATGATGATAGCAGGGAAGCGAGACATCCTGAAGCGCCAATTCCTGACGCAACGCCTCTGGGCGATAGCCCTCCAAGAGACACGCCTACCGGAGGATGCTACTTCCTCATGTATCATACCGCCTCGACCGCGGATGGTTCGGCAGGTTGTGCTCTCTGGCTGAGCAGACATCAGTGTTATGCCTCCGATAATGGCCAGAAGCTCTATGTGGCGCCAGAACACGTTACGGTCACCAGCCTGTCGCACGTCACTTGCAGGTTCAGATCGATGCACCCAGGCTTTCCATTACCCTCCTAGTAGTGCACGCGCCTAGGAGCAACGGTGCCGTTGATGATCCGGCGCGCCTCTTCTGGCAATATCGTACGCAAGAGGCAGCAAAAAGACGAGAAGGCTCCACGCTTATTGTCCTAGCAGATGCCAACAGCCACGTCGGATCGCTGACCACCTGTGCGATCGGGGACTGGCACTCCGAGGAGGAGAATCAGGCAGGGGAGTTCTTCCACCAATTCCTTCTGGATACCGGCACCATGCTCCCCTCCACTTTCCAGACCTACCACGAAGGTTCCTCATGGACTTGGACGGGTCCTGGCCCGCACCCTACCCGCCACCGCCTCGATTTTGTCGGTGTACCCCAGGATTGGGCGAGCTTCACCATGCGATCCTGGATTTGGGACGACTTCGAAGCCCTACAGGCCCGCCAAGACCACAGGCCAGCCTGCCTTAGTGTGGTTTTTGGCAAACCAACCCCGGCCCTGAGCTATCAGCGACACTCCCGCAGGGCATGCCGCCCCAGCCCACAGGAGTCCCTGTTCGTTCGAGCGAGCTTCGTCGGTAGCCTGCAGCAGGCCCCTTCCCTACCTTGGGACACCGAAGTGGATCAACATCAGCAGTCCGCTTCTCAGGTCCTTGTCCGGGCAGGACAAGCATTGTGCCAACCTACTCGATTACCCCCGAAACAAGAGTACCTTCAGCCGAATACTCTTGCGCTCGTACACCAACGCTCTGCGCTCCGAGCATATCTCCGCGCCGAGAGCCACGAATGCGAACGCAGGCTTAAGATCGTGGCCTTCGCAGCTTTTGTTCAGCACAGCCGTGGACTTACATTGTCAGATGTAGCGCGTTGCAGGGCATCTGCTTGGCTCCAAGAAATTGATGTCAGCACTGCTCGAGCCCTAGACTGGCTACATTGGCTGACCGCGGCTCTCCGAGCAGCCGTCAGGCGGGACCGCGCCACCTATCTGCAATCCCTTGTGGACAACATCAGTCTACAAGACCTGCGCCATCCACAAGCTTTGTATGGCGCGGTCCGAAAAGCCTTCCCAAAAGCCCAGTCAGCTCGGAAGTCTAACTTCCAACCGCTGCCGGCGGTCAAGCTGGCCGATGGCACACTGGCGCCCGATTCAGTCTCGCGCTCGGCACGTTGGCTTGAATACTTTGCAGAACAGGAGGCGGGACATGTAATCGAACTCTCAGAGTACACCGCGGGCTTCGCTGAGGACCCGGTCGACCCCCACCAGGGTGGCCCTCACTTTCAACCGCAGGCCCTACCCAGCCTCCTCGAAATTGAGCAGCAAGTGGTGAGGCTACCATTCCGCAAGGCGGCAGGTCCGGACCAAATCACGGGAGAGCTTCTCCGACTTTCGCCGGCCTTTGCGGCCCAGTGGCTTTACCCCCTGTATCTCAAGGCCTCCATAGGCTTGCGCGAGCCGTCAGCCTGGAGAGGTGGATCCCTCATATGTTTAGCCAAGCGGGCTTCCACCCTCTTCCAATGCACCTCCTTTCGGTCCATCCTGTTGGCCAACCTTCCGGGCAAAATTTGGCACAGGGTGCTCCGAGATAAGCTTACTCCGGCTTACCAGGCGTGCAAAGGGGACCTTCAGGCCGGACAACTGCCCGGGGTGGGCACCGACAGCATCTCCCTGGCGGTACGCTTGTACCAGTCGTGGGCAAGATATTCCGGCCTCAAGTCCGCCCTAGTCTTCTATGACGTGAAGACTGCTTTCTACAAGCTCCTCCGAGAAGCTCTGGTGCCTACCGGCAAACAGGAGGAGAGACTCCTTCGCCTCCTGCACGACTTAGGGGTCCCCCCGGCAGCGATCAGTGAGCTTGCTCATAAGCTCAACCAGGCGGCCTATATAGCCGAAGCAGGCGCAGGACCGCACCTGGTCAGTATGGTTGCCGACATTCTCCGCGGAACATGGTTCAGACTTGACGGGGCGACTGCCCTTGTCCTGACTGGGCGGGGCAGCCGCCCAGGAGATCCCTTAGCGGACCTTCTCTTTTCCTTCACTTTCGCAACCTATTTCCACAGCTCTGAGTCAGCCCTTGCCGTTAAAGGCCTTTCGACCCCTGTTCCCGGGGTAACAACGGAGCCCCCTTGGCATACGTGGCAGGCTGTGGACACCATTGGGTGCGCTGCATGGGCCGACGATTACGTGCACCTCCAAGCCGATGCAGACGCCAGGCGACTTGAAGAAAAAGTCGTACAATCAACGACGGTACTTTGCGAGCATGCAACATCCCTGGGAATGCAGCTGTCGTTTGACAGGGAAAAGACAGCCGTCTTGTTTTCAGCAGACTGCCCTCGATGTAATTCGGCGCATACCGTTGAGGACCCCGATCAGGGAATGTGTCTCAGGATCATGGACTCGATCCGACAGTGCTGGCGTAACTTGCCGATCGTCGATAGCTACCGACACCTAGGAGGCGTCATAGTAGCTAATGGGACACCAGGCGTTGACATTGCCTTTCGGTTTTCCCAAGCCAACCATATGTTGAAGCCTCTGTATGGACGCCTCTTTTCGTCCTCACAGATCCCCATCAACATCCGCCGGACCCTTTTGCGCGCCTTGGTCTTGTCGCGCTTCGTCTTTTCAGGCGCAGGTTTGTTTCTGCATACTGCCCAACACGGGCGACAGTGGCATCGCCTATACATACGGCTCTGGCGAGGCCTCCTTAAGTGGCATTCGACCGAACAGACACCACACCCTTACGATGTCCTGCGCGCCGCCCAGGCACCCTCCCCCCCGCTTGCCTTGGCACAGATGCGCTCGGTCTTACTCAGCCGCCTTCTACGGCACGGCCCGGCGACACTTTTGCACTTAGTCCATGCTCAGTGGTGTTGCTGCCCCACCAAATCATGGCTTAATCTTTTTCAGGCTGACCTACAGGCGGTGGCGGTGTACTGCCCTCAAGCTCAGCTTGTTCTGCAACAGACATGCCCTGTCCGTGCCTTGGTGGAGGCGCACCAGGACAACCCCAAATGGTGGCCGGCCATGATAAAAAAGGCTATAGCCAGTTTTCAGCGGGACCTACACGAGCGAGCGCCTTCTGCTCCCCTTGTTTCCGCTCCGGCTAACATGCCTTTCGCCTGCAGGTTTTGTGGAGCCCGGTTCGCACTCCGTAAACACCAGGCCGTGCACGAAGCGCGGAGTCATGGCGCAATTAGCCTGGTCCGCTATTACGCACCAGACGCAGCATGCCACAGCTGCATGAAGTGGTACCATACAGTGGACCGTGTGCAGTACCACCTCAAGACCAGCCCCGCGTGCTTGCAACGCCTCGGACACGTCCTTGCGCCTCTTGCCCTTGACCAGGTCCATGAGGCAGAGGCTGCTGACAAACACCGCAAGCGACAGCTCCGCAGAGGCCAATGGCGCCACGCACAGACGGCGCTTCCGGCTCAACCCTGGTATGGCCCGCGCCTGCCGGACTACGCGGACCGCACCACAGGCCTAACTGAGGATGATTTCACCCTTGCTATCATCCAGCAGGCCTACCACCCCAAACCAGAACATCTTGAGCAGATCCGTGCGTTCTTGGCTGCAGCGTCCAGGGAGGGGCCCAGACAAGGAAGCCAAGAGTTTTGGTTTTCTAGGCCGAACACCGGCCCCCCGTCTCACCCTTGTGCATTTTTGGACGCGCCTCTTTAGGCACGAGAGTCCCATCAGGAACAGGAACAGGAACAGGATATTATTTTGGGGGTTCCTTAGTATACTTATAGTATAATGGGCCCCCAAAACCCTATTCTGACTATTAATGCCCCGATACTACCCTGTAACACTCGTGCAAAAGCCGGTCTCAACACTAAACTTCCCAAGCCCTAAACCCTAAACCCCTAAACCCTAAACACTAAACCCTAAACCCTAAACCCTAAACCCTAAACCCCTAAACCCTAAACCCCTAAACCCTAAACACTAAACTTCCCACGCCCCAGACTCGAAGCCCGAAGCCCTCTCTAGCCCTAAAACCTTGCCCTGAAAATCCAAACCGTAGCCCTAAAGTTTAGGGTTTAGGGTTCAGGGCTTTAGGGGTTTAGGGTGTGGGGTTTTAGGGGTTTAGGGTTTAGGGGTTGAGGGTAAACTTTATACCTGATGAGCACCAGGGAACCTCATGAGCTGCAAGCCCTAATATAGGGGCCTTAAGACTTACCTACATATACGATTCTGGTGGCTCCGCAGTATAACTTAGGCTATAAAGGAGCCGAAAACCCGATTCTCATCAATTATCAATGGTATAAGGCCCGATTATTAAGCCTAAACCCTAAAGCCTGAACCCCAAACTCCAAAACCCTATTGTAATTACTAAGGCCCCTATGGTAAGCCCAAGCCTCCACGGCCAAGGCGCCAGGACGAGAGGAGCGATTTCTGCGACTTCCACAGCTTCCCGTGGCCTGGACAGGATTTCTGGCTTTGGGGCAAAGAGGGCGCTAGGCTGTTATGGTGGTAGGGTGTAGGGTGTTGGCTTCAGGATGTGAGTGTGCAGCGTTTATGTAGGGTCTTCGGTTTGAGGGTTTAGGCTTTTCGTGGTTTAGGGTTGTTTAGTGGCTTTTGGGAAAATACTTTGACCTACTCGAGGTCTTGAGTTTATTGCAAGACCTGCGATATTGGTAAGGTTCGATCGTCGAATCATGGTTGGAACATAGTTTCAGAAAGGTTCATCGAGCAGCTTAAGGCACGATCTTACGGAAGCCTGACCACTTACCACTGTTGTTCCCATTCCTTGTTTTTGTTACAACAGACACCAAAACCGTATTCTACATTGCAGAACCTTTGTAATACCCAATGAAGTCGCTGATGGGATGCGTTAAATAACCCTTAAACGACGGGTGTGAGACTGCAGTAAGAGTTCGGCGATTAGGGCTTCCAAGGTTTTGTATAAGAGCCTGGGTTGAGGGTTTAGGGTTTTGGGTTTAGGGTTTAGGGTTTAGGGTTTAGGGGTACTGATTAGAATAGGCTTCATTCTAGCTTCAAAGTTTAAAGGGTCGACAAAGGTTGCGACAAGGGTTTTTTCAGAGTTTCATGATAAACAAGCCTCGATAATCGGAACCGGGTATGTTGATGCCTCTTATATATGTATACATGTATGTAGAATGCTATGAGTGCCTGGGGGATTATATATGGGGGGGGTACCGTTGGGGAATCTGTGGAGTCTGTAGAGTGTCGGTGCTTCGGTCTTAGATCCGGATTCCCTGGTCTCCCCAGTGTCTTCTGGGCTCTGTAGTTTGGTCTGCTGTTCTCTGAGGCTCTCAAAGTCTCAAAGTGGTCAGGGAAAGTCGTGTGTTGCTTTCATTTCTAATTCCGACATGCTGGCTGCATGAGTCATTCAGTATACTGTACCTATGGTTCGAACTATTGGTATCTTTGAACCCTTTTGCATATACACACTAGAGCATTCGTCGAAGTCAGCCAGAGATGACCCCGATCACCATCCTGCATTCTACTAACCGCCGTCAATCTTGAACCCCAAACCGTAGACTCTGTCTAAAGCTTAAACCCTACATAAAGCCCGAGCCGTATTCTACTCCCCGAACCCCACAAGAAGCCGCATACAACTCCTATGTCCTATGGCCTTGTATATCCCTCCGAAAATCTGTCCAAAACTCATCTGGAATCCTGACAAAACCTTCAATCCACAAAGGCCTGGTAGAACCATGTTAAACCTGCTAAATCTGAACCCAGAACCCGAAACCTCCAGGTGGAAAGTTGTCAACTTGCTGAAGCGCAAGCCTTTGAGGAGCTGACGTGGTACGAGGACCCGTCACTCCACCTGACAGGTTCGGGTTCAAATTATATTCGAGCCTGAATAGTAGTTTCCTAGATTATTTCCTAGAGAGTCGTAACATACTTGCACAGTAATTACTCTGGCCCCAACTATTACCCTAAACCCTAAACCCTAAACCCAATTCCTTGTTAAAGCTCTTCTATGCCCTGAGGCCCCGAGCTCTTGGCCTAGACCCGAAATCCCTCCTACGGTTTGGAGTTTAGGGTTTGGCTTTAAGGGTTCAGGGCTCCCTAAACCCCTAAACCCGTAAACCCTAAGCCCTAAACCCTAAATAAACCCTAAACCCTAAATAAACCCTATAAACCCGCAATAAGCCCTTAACCCGGAACCCTAAATTGAAACCTTCAAAAAAAGCCCTAAAACCTGAACCCTAAGCCCTGGAACCCCCAAGCTGGCTCCTAGCTGACGTCGCAGGACTCTACGGTCGAAACCATGGGCCCCTAGTATGGGCCCTTAAGCCTGGGATCCTTATATACCTACTATATACCCTATATGTACCCTCAAGGGTCCCTAGAAAGGCCTAGTCCATATTAGGGGCCTATACTTCTAACCGTGGAAGGACATCGAGCCTCCTCTGCAGCAGCACCGATCCCTGCGCTTTGCAATCGGGGCTCCAGGACGCTGCTTTTGCCGAGGGACCTCTTGGGGGGGGGGGGGGGGGGGGG